GTCCTGAAACATATTTTGAAAATACCATAATAACATATTTTGGATCAATATTGGTTACATTATGAACGTCCACAAGATTACGGATGGATATGTTTAAGACTTTTTCAGATACTTGTGGGATATCCTGAAGTCATCCTAAGTCGTCCTAAGAAAGTCCTCAGGATAGCCTGAGGCTGAGTGAAAGTCGTCCTGAAGACGTCTCCAGGTTGTAATAAGGCGCTTATTTGCTAGTCCACAGGATGTCCAGAAATTTTTGTCTAAGTGTAATGTCCTACATATGTCCCGGGATATTCAAAACTTATACAGGACCATCCTGAAGACGTTCTGTACTATTAGAGAATTTTGTCATTAAAAATGTTATGTAAATATTGAATCATTGATATATTGATTTATCAAGTAATTCCTGCTTTTGTCTCGTATTGTTTCTCTTGTTAATACGTTTCTGAATAGTTTCATTTTAATTGCGTTCTTGTATATTATAATAATATAAAATATAAAAATATAAAAATTGGAATATTAGATAAACTGACTGCCAATATTTTTATATTTTTTAGGTTACATTATATTGAAATTGGTCATGTCATTTATTCCAATCAATAAATATGTAGTCGCTTCTCGATAAGTGTCACAGTCAGTAATGCAAATAACTATGTTTGGAACTTTTAGAACTTTTAGAGGTTATATTGATGACAGATTGAGATTATGGAACATATGTCTTAAAAAAGATGTCTTTAAGATGTCAGAAAAACATCTTTCTGATATAGTCTTAAAAACGTCTTTAAAAAAGACATCTTAAGATTTGATAAAATCTTAAAGAGTCTCTTAGACGTCTCTTAAACATGCGTGCTGTCTGAGATGTTGCATAATATTTATTAGTATAATAAAGAAATTATTTTAAAAAATTATTTTTTAAGTCAAAGAAATAATTTCAAAAAAAAATTTCTGTTACATAGAAATATTTTATCAAGTAGAGATATTTTATAAAATATTTATAAAGTCTGTTTGTTTTGTAACATTTATGTAAGATCTATGAAGAATCATCAATTTGTGATTTTTTATAAAGAAAAGTATCTTTTATGACATTAGTCGATAATATGCCATGATCCTCCTCCTATCTCACAAACATCCTTTTTTTCTTCTTCAGTAAATTGTAAATTACGTTCGTTTCATATATCCGATGAACTTTTACTTACAGAATGATTGGTAGAACTCTATGCCTAACAAACTTATATCTATATAAATTATGTCACGTTAATATGTAATAAGTCATTTTAAGAAAACAAAATGGTATTACACCACTCCCATCTCTTCTCTACTAAAATTAATTAAGTTTTTATTCGCAGAAAGTTTTTTTTCTTTATTGCTTTATAAGTTTAAAAAATTATTCATATTTTGATATTTTTTTAAGAAAAATAGATTTTAAACTAATTGGAAAATCTATTGAAAAGATATTCAATTTCTTCAAGATATTTTGCAGTATTATTAAATATGTAGCAAAATTTCTTATTAAATTAAATAAAATATAAACCTTATTAAAATATAAACCTTATTAAAAATAATGGTAATTATTATATTAATATTATATTATAAAAAATATTGTTAGTGCTGACATGAATATATTATATTTCTATATTTAAACATCAATGATCCAGGACAAGCGAACTTTTTCATACTAACTTTCCAAAATTGCTTACATTAACTTACCCGATATTTATAACTAATGTACCTTAAATAGTTTAAAATACACTTCGTAATATATTTATGTTATCTAATACGAGATAAACTCAGAGCGAAAAACCTTTTTTTTGTGGGCAATTGTGACAAACAGAATTAAATATTTTGTATAAAAGTTGTGTTTTTATATATATAATCAGTCAAGACACAATTTCATTACGTTTGTTTAATCTCGTTATACTATAAAAATTTATTTATAATCTCTTTATTTATAATCAATTATAATTGTTATTGATAATTGATTGATCTTATAATTTTGATTTGTAAAATTATTATTAATTTTATCATCATTATCAATTCATTTTTTTATAGATTCGTGAAAAGTGAATGATATTGGGAATTTGCGACGAATATGAACTGAATTACGCGTAATTCATTATCATTTATCGCAGAGAAAACTCATTTATTTCTCAATAAATATTTCAGAATTAATTTTTACAATAGGTAATATAATTTTTTTAACAAGAATATTTTATTTAAAAAGACGAAAATGCTCATTATTTTCAAGACAATAAATTTATCAAGATCACTGAAACTTCAATATCTTTAACAGCTAAAGATATTTGAGATGTTTTCGCGAAGAATGCAACCGGTATTATCATTGTAATTTTCAAGCAATATTTATGTGTTGTCAGGTATTTTCTCAAACCCGAAAGCCAGTGCCAGTGCTTTTATACATAAAAAGCCCTGACACTTTTTTAAAATACTGAATATGTTTTTAATATAAATTGAAAAGTGTCTTTAATCATTACAAGTTGATAAATTCTTAATAGTTAAACATTTATATATTTATGTAACTTTAAAATTTTTGTTAAAAATAAATTCAAAGATTTTTGTATCCCAAAGAGATTTGTTCCTGAAAAATTTTATCTTAGAACTTAAAATCTTCAAAGATGAATACACGATTCTCTTTTTAAAAGTTTTTATAAAAGTTTTAGCTTTATTGAAGTTTTAAATTCTCAATGCTATAAATGCTTGAAAATTTAGACTCATGTGTTATATATTCAAATATGAAATTTTTAAATTCATAATTTTGGAACTCGTTTTACAGTTCTTATCATTTTTCTTTAGAGACCCTTGAGTTTGAATATTTGAATTTATACGACGATAAATCGGTGACTGACATTTACTTTTTATAGATCGCCAGAGCAAATATACGTATCATCAAACAGGATTTGCAAATGTTTATATTCGCAAATTATCAAATCACATGATGCATAATGATGCTATAAATAAGTCATATTCTTATCGGAATGTAAATGTAATGTGTTTATCTCGTTCCTTTCTCGTCAGGAAATTGAAGCTCTCGAACCCGCAAGGGTCAGTCCAATTCTATTAAAACGTGTAATATAAGACATATATTCTGTATTTCTTGAGAAAAGATGTCCTCCATCAAAAATTTAAAAATTCCTGGCAAGAAAATCACCGTTTGGCCACAATGGCTGACTGCTCTCGCAAGTAAGTGCTTAATTATTTAATAAAATATTTTAATTAATGTTAACAAATTATTCTATTAATTAATTAATTATTCTATTAAAGAACAAAATATTTAAATATTTTAATTATTTTAATTATATTAATTATAAGAATTAGATATGTGTTATTAAATATACATTATACATGTAGAATACATCATTAGAAACTATCTAATAATGAATTTAAATACTTGCATTATTTTAAATTAATGCAAACATGCTAAACGTCGCTATGAAATTATGATATATGTAATAATACATGATAAATATAATATACATAATAAAAAGATAAAATATTCAAAATATTAAAATATATACATATATAATGCACATATGTATGTTATCATATGTTTAGGGAAATGTATATCGGATATTTTATCTTAATCTAAAATTTTTATTTTTTTTTTAAGTTTACAAAATGTACACAATATTCTCTTCCTTGTTTCTGCTTTTGATAAACTTTGGATATGTAAGATCAAAATAGGAAGCACCTATATCTTTTTATTTTCTTTTATAAGTGCTTTTACATGTATTAAAGAATAAAATGTTTCCTTAAAAATTAATTTTTATAAGCTTTATTTATATAAACTTATATCGTTATATCGTTGACATGACGAAGATAATATATAATGAAGTATTAAATTGGCCAATAATTCTATGCAGCTTTTTACTTATAATTTATAGAAAGCAATAACTTTAGTCAATAATGTGTTGGCCATCGTAATACACTATTTTTTACTTTTCGAACAATTTTATAATTCCTCACTCAAAGAAATTTTTCGTGTTTCTTTCTTGGTGAAAAACTGCTCCAAGTGCCGTTTTATAGTGAAGTGCTGTTCATTTAAAAAATTTTCTGAAGGAAGCGAAATACGTAGTGAAAGGAGCAAGGTAAAAATGGAGGATACGGTAAGACATCCCAGCCCAGCGTCAATAATTTTTGCCGAGTACAAAGATGTTTTAATTGAAAGATGATTTTTACAAAGATGCGATCTAGCATTATCATGATGAAAGATGACGCCCTTGTGATTTACCAATTTTGAACGCTTTTAGTGGATTGCATTTAATGTAATTTGTCCACATCTGAATTAATTGTTTTATTCTTGGGAAGAACTTGTAGAACTTTTCAATCCCACCAAATGAGAGCTTTGACTTCGCTTGGATGAAGTTCTGCCTTCGCAATGTCTTTGCTGCGCTGCCCCCGCTTTTTTACGCTTGACGTTATTATAAATGATTCATTTTTTGTCATCCGTTCACTTCAGAAATAGATTTTTCCCTTTTTCTAAATAAATCGCTAATGAAAATGCGTTCGACTCGATTAACTTCATTCGGATCGTGTGGAATCCAAACCTGGAGCTGATTAATATAATTAATGCAGATGATTTTCTACTTAATTTGGGAAACGTCTGTAATGTCTCGCATTGTATTGATGTCGATTAACACCTTCACTTTGTCGCTATTGATCTCAACTGGCCGGTTCGAATGTAATATTTCTTCAGGATAAAAAAATCTTCAAAAGAAAATCAAATCACTTCTGACACATATGTCCTTTCACAGTAACCTCCGCACATATCTTTTTACAGATTTGCATTTCTGTCTTCCTTTAAGATAAAAAAGCATAATATGCTGAAAATGCTCATTTTTATTATTTATCTTACAATGAATGCCAAATACATAATCAATCATCATGCTTTTTTTTTAAATGCATGTTGAAATATCACCTATAAAATGTTGATGCCAATATGTAATACTACTATATGGCTACTGGAGCAGTTTTCCTATAAGCAGGAGTAAACCTAACACTGAAGGATGAAAGATAGACAGCTATTGGCTCTATAGGAAAAAGTAGGAGCAGTGTTCAATAATCGTTAATGCGAAAGCGTGACGACAGAATAAACAGATCTTTTTTTATTAAAAGGCTCGATTGCACTAACTTTGAATTTTAAGTGGTATTTAATATATAATACGTGTCACGTATATTATGTATTAAGTTTCGCTTAAAGCCGAAATAATATTGGTGCAACCGGGCCTAAGTAATTGATAATTAGTAAGAAAAATAAATATGGAAAGTATCTATAATTCATTTTCATTTTTTACTTACTAATAATAATAAAATAAAATAATAATAATAAATAATAATAAAATTCAAAATAATAATTCAATTTTTTTTTATTTATAAAGATGACAATGTTCAAATACAAAGTTACTGATTTTTATACAAAATTAGCTTAGTGTATTTACTTCGTAAATATTCGCTCTTTTATGACATTTGTTTTGCTTCTGAAAATAATCGAATATTTAAGTATATCGTTATCTCATATTGATTTTATTAAAATAAAATATTATATGAATAAATAATGAGATTACAAAATTTATAGACTAGCGTTTGAACTTTTGAATGGTGTTCAATACAGCGTCAGATCAATTCGCATTAGCTTAGACCATGTACTATTAGGTATTAAAGAGTCAAATTTGACTCAATTTCTTAAGTTAAATAATTTTAGTTGTTTTTAACTATCATATGTTGAAATTCACTATTTTAACGAAAAACATGTTTTTAAAAAAATAATTATAATAATACCAAATTAACTGATTTATGTATGGATTTATGTATGGATCAGTTAAAATATTTAGTTGAAAGAAAATAGCGCCATTATTTGATAAAACAAATGAATAACGGCGATGTTGCTAGGAGCGATACAAGTTACCGTGTAGAGACAGCGCGCGTACGTCGCGACGAGTCACAACGTGTCTTAATACCATCGAATAAACGCATTGTGTCTTCGAAGAAAAGATTATGTTAATGTTAAAGTATTACTTATTTGTGATTTCTAGTGAATAGAAATTTAACGAAAAGAAAAAAGTTATAAATCAATTGTATCTTTGTCTTGTTGTGTACTGTTGTGTTTTTTTTATTATCGTGTATTTGTAATATTTGGTTTTGAAAATCATTTTCATGCTTATATTGTGCGTTATTCGGAGATTACGTATATGTAAAGAAATCAGCATGATTTTCGAACTTATTATATACGTAAATCATTTATTATTGGCGAAAATTATTATATATGTTTACGAAACAAAGTTCGACTGAAAGATGTATAATTATGTTGCAAAATTTCAAGAAATAAAATATGTACATATATACACATGATTGTTTATATTTAAAATTGCATTAAAATTTATAATTCATTAAATATAACTTTAATTTAACTCACATTGTGTTGAAAACAACAATAAGATTAGTAATATTTAATCAAAATCTGAGTATCCTTTGACTATTACGATATTAGTAAATTAAAACACAATATTGAGTCATTTTTTATTAAATCGAAAGCTTATATTAACGTATGCACATAGTAAACAATAAACAAAATTTTAGTCAAATATAACACACTTCTTGAGTAAAATTATTTAACTCAATCGTTTAAGTTAAATTAACCATATATTTAGTAGGAGCAATGGCGACTTATAGAAATGGTTAAAAATGACTAAAATTGGGACTAATTTGACACTATGGATTTAACAGTGTAGTGGAAGCAGATGTGTCATGCACATGCTTTACAATAAACAGTGATAAAGACAGACGAGCATTGTCTGCACCGTAGTGTTGCGGTATCACTGAGAGCTTCGCTAGCCATATAGTAGTATTACATGTATGGTTAATGCGCTTCCAAAATTTGAACTGAAGATAGGCGCTTTTTAGATTAAATCTTTTAAAAGCCGCACGGATTTATTGGTCAAACCAATATTTCATCTTCATATATGGTAGTTTTATAATATTTAATGATAATCAGTAGATGCCTTTTTTTATGGAAATATTGAAATAAATATGATTTAATAATGCTTTTTTTTTTTAACAAAAATTATTTTTCTTTAACTTTTTTTATATTAAATTTTTTTTATTAAATATAAAATTATTGAATATAAAATACATATGATCCGCATTCGAGTAATGCATAATTTATTTTTTATCATCGCGTGAAAAATCTTGTATTATTATTAATTCTTATATATAATTTGATAAAAAAACAAAGAGTAGTTTTAAATTTTAGTCGTTTAAAATTATTAATTTCCAAATAGGTATTATGCAAAGATCATTTTTTTATAAAAACAATTTCTGCTGCTTATTAATAGATTGGAATGTTTTAAATAACATGTCACATTTTGCCGAATAGTCAGCCTAGAAACCATCGTTTCTGGTCTGGCCAATGGTTGGGCTTCACCATATTTAGCGCAATTAATATCAGCGGAGGCGGACGTTTCCTTGAAAATGACCGATATCGAGGCATCTTGGATGGCATCCCTTTTGAGTTTTGGACGTGTAATCGGAGCATTTATCGGTGCTTTTTGTCAAGGTGAGAGTCCATTATCGCACTTTTTTTAAAAAAGCACAACATACTCACCTTTTTAAAATTTATTCATTATAAATTAAAAAAAAATAAAAAAATATCAAAATAAATTTCTTTGAATCAGTTAAGTTTAAATTATGTGTATCCAACATTGATCAATTATATTTGTATTAATAAATGTAATATGTTCATGTTATAAATTATAGTATACAATTATGATAAATATTACATTATTTATTCTGTAATTCGTTTTATGACAATAATATGTGAATAATAACATTTTCTATTAAATAAATTTTTTTCCTTCTATTTATATACATTATTTAACCTTTTTTATCTTTTTAATCTTTTTTATCTTTTATTTTTAATTGAAAAATTATGAAATTATAGGATGTCAAGAAAGAGAAAAAATCTAACCTCTTTCTATATTTTAATATGTCTTTTTAAGGGGATCCTGGTCTGACGAGTGAATTCCGACGAAAACATTCACATATGCATATCTAAATACATTTAGATACATTTATGTATCCCAAGTAGCAAGATGACATCATTATAACGATGATTTAAGGTCATTTCTCATCATTCGACGTATGTGTACTAAATAATGACGTAAAATAAATGTAACATTTGTCACTAAATATTATCGTCATAAATATATCGTCATTTAATCGTCATTTTTAAGTCATTTTTAATGAATAAATAATGAAATAACATTATTAATTATCTTTCTTAATTAACTATAATTAACTGTAATATAACTATAATATAACTAAATAAGAAAAATATTTCCCATATTTAACACAATTAACAAATTCATTAACAGGTAAATAAAAGATATGCAACAATTTATAAACATTTTCATAAGAATGATGATTCTTATTAAACATAGGTTCATGGCTCTATATATGTAACTAAATTATCTACAAGAATTACATATGCAATCGAGATTTTAAAATTGAGACTATTTATACAATATAGTAACATTTATTAACCAGATCTTCATATCTTAAGCAGAAATCCCGTAATCACTTATTTGATCATTTCAGTAGCAGATTTCATCCCAATATATAATACTGAGATTAAGCAGTATCGAGCAGGATCTCCAAGTGGATGAATGACCGATTTTAGAAACATGCGATGATACGAGATAAAAAATGTTTCATCATTTTCTCTCATTTTTTTTCATTTTTTCATTTTTTTTTCACTTATTTTCTGTAAGGGTATTTTATGTCATACTACTGTGATCAAATATAAACGAGATTTTTTAATTTAAACTGCGCGGGTTCATCGATTCTGACAAATATTTTTTTATTAAGTTGGTAGTACTATCTTTGACATCTGTGTGAAATTTCATGTCATTTTCTTCATTTGTTTAATAGTGAACGCTCGTTTTTGTGAATATCCAAAAGTATTTTTTTCGATTTTTACGATGTGTGATTCTGTTGGGCAAAGAAATTGTATTTTATTTTGTTTGCGGAATGAAATTTCTGCTATTGAAACGTTCAGAATGTTGCACAAGGCTTTTGGTGACCAGGTTCTATCAAGACCAAGAGTATTTGACTGGTATAAAATGTTGAAAGATGGTCGATAAAGCATAGAAAACGAACCACATCAAAGACGACCAAAAACATCAACTGATGAACAACACGTGAAGCAAATCAAGGATTTGGTGCTCCAAAATCGTCGATTGACAATTAGAGAATTTGCCGATACTGTAAACATTTCATTTGGATCAGTCCAGACCATTTTGAAAGATCATTTGTGCTTGAGAAGAGTCAAATCTCGTTTGATTCCGAAAACACTTAAATTTTTTGGAAAAACAGCATCGCATTGAAGTGTGTGAAACAATGATTTCTGACTACCAGGACAAGATGAAACGCATGATAACTGGAGATAAGACTTGGATCTATACGTACGACTCAGAAACAACCGACCAATCGAGCGAATATCGTGTAAAAGGTGAGGCAAGACCAAAAAGATCGCGCCAAAGTCGCTCAAAAATCAAGGTTTTGTTAACAGTTTTCTTCGATTATCGTGCATTATGAATTCCTTCCGCCGAGCCAAACTGTCAACAAGGAATATTATTTGAGTGTTATGCGTCGTTTGCGTGAAGCTATTCGCCTCAAGAGGCCAAATTTATGGGCAGACAACTCATAGTTTTTGCACCACGATAATGCGCCATCTCACACTGCGCTGGTTCTTCGTGACCATTTCGCCAAAAACTCGACTCATATACTATCGTTCCACAACTGTATTCGCCTGATTTAGCACCGTGTGACTTCTGGCTGTTCAGTAAACTCAAAAGATCACTCCGGGGACACCGTTTTGAATCGATCGAGGAGATACAAGCCGAAACGAAGAAAGTATTGAAGGCCATTCCGGAAGAAGAGTTTTCAGAGTGTTTCGAGGATTGGAAAAAGCGTTAGCATAAGTGTATTGCATTGGGAGGGGATTATTTTGAAGGCGACGAATTTGATTTTGAAGAATAAATAAAGATTTTTCACTCTATAACAAAAATCTTGTTTATATTTGATCACAGTAGTATATATTATAGATTTTCAATACTAGCAGTCAATATCGGAACGCAACCGTAATTTTGTCATAAGTATCACGTCATCGGTCTGTCTTATAGACGTCATTATGATTTCTTTTTTGACGTCTTTTATGACGTGAGTTTGGTGATATTAATGATTTAAAATTGACGTTATATTGACGACATCTTGCTACTTGGGATACATACATACACTCATATATACATTTCTGTATGTACATGATACACATATGAACAAATTTTCGTATTGCTTTTTTGTATTACACTAGATATCTAACTCAATTCTAAAATCTCAATGTTGTTTTTTCATATAATCTTCTAGTTTAGCAATATCAGTTTTGTAGGTATAGACTAAAATTTTCATATAAAGCAATTATTGATTTGACAGCTTTGGATGCCATTTTAAAGTAACAAATGGCAAAAAAGATCTAAATTTAAAAAATTTTTCTCGTTCTTGATACAAAATACTACAAAATACTAGACACGTATCAATGCATAAACTTTAATTGTAAAAAATTGTAAAAAAGGATTTCCAGATCTATAAAGTTAGTAATAAAAAATGAGAGCCATACAAAAATTATTACATTTTGTCGGTAATATAGACAAGTTCAGCATCCCCTTAATATGTCTGTTAAAATTTTTTTTATTTATCAATTGTTTGATCAAAACGATATAAAGAATGACCGCAAAAATCGCCCGCTTTGCGGCCCTCAAGTTTGAAATCGAAACCGGTGCTAAATGACAGTTTATCATAACACATTAATCCTCTAAAAGTTTCAAAGTGAGTCTACCTGAGTGAGATACCTTTCATTGCCGAGATATGAGCTGTTGAAGTCGGCATTAAACTCCAACTCAAAGTAGGTCATTGTATACTTTCCACGTGAATCATTCTGAGGTTGATAGGAAAAAATGTTACAGACAATAGTTGCAGGTGTGTTATAAGACTATTTAATGGTGACCTTGACTTGATCTTGATTAATTCGAAACTTATCTTTTTATAAAAAAGCTATATGAGGAAATAATCCTAAATCAGATCACATTTAAAAATCTTGTCAGTTTATAAAACAAGGGAATGTACCAGCTCATTTCAACAATAAATACATTTCCAAAATTGAAAACAGCAGTTTATACTGAAGAAGTCAAATCACTAAAGAACCTTGCCAAGATCAAGTCAAGGTCACCATTAAGTAGTCCTTAAGTAACACATCTACAACTATTGTCTGTAACATTTTTCCCTATCAGCCATAACTTCGGAATAATTCGCGTAAAAAGTATGCAATGACCTACTTTGAGTTGAAGCTTAATCCCGACTTCAACAGCTTACATCTCGACAATGAAAGGTATGCTCAATTCGAAACTTTTAGAGGATTAATGTGTTATAATAAACTGTCATTTAGCACCGATTTCGATTCCAAATTCGAGGGCTGCAAAATGGGCGATTTTTGGCCGGTTTCTATGATCATTTTTTCTTCTTCTAATTGAAAATAAGTAACAATTCACGGAGAAGTCCCAGTTACATACAGAATAAATAGGATACAGCAGGTTGAATAGCTCGGACACAGGTTCAAACGGACACAATAAGGAACGGACACAAGGTGATTGAAATCGGACACAGTACTAATCGGTACACAATGACAGTGAAAATCGGACACAATGGCAATCGGACACAGTGGCAATCGGACACATTGAAAATCAGACACAGTACTAATCAGACACAGTAGGAAATGAACACACGGTAGTTGCAATCGGACATAGTAACAATCGGACATAGTGACAATCGGATACAGTAACAATCGGACACAGTAGCAATCGGACACAGTACAAGATAGACAGATAATTAAATAGATAAATAGATAAAAGAATCTGGCAAAAAAAACGCGGTGGTCTACTTCGCAAACCGAGATATTAAGCGTTAAAGTTGACGATTTTAGTTAGGAAATCTGTCATAGCGATGTAATGCAACAAACTAAGCATGCGTTGTGACTCTGTACGCATGATAGAGGAGGCAAAGCCCCTTGCTCAAGGGTCTACTATCACAGAACTAATTAGGAAAACAATACAAAATTATATTTGTAACAAAATGAAAAGATCAACGAAAACTTCACATCCAATCCTTGCGTTGGAGTCTTTGCCAATCTTTCTAGAATCTATCATTTTAGTATATGATAGACTCATCATTTTAGTAAGGCGAAAGATTGCATCTTACACTTCGAATATAATAACACTTTTAACACTTTTTAAAAAAACTGTCACAATTGCAATTATCCGTGCGTCCATTTCCTACTGTGTTCGATTGGCACTATGTCCGATTGTGACTGTGTCCGATTGTCACTAGGTCTGATTGTCACTGTGTCCGATTGTGACTTTGTCCGATTGTGACTGTGTTCGATTGTAACTGTGTCCGATTGTCACTGTGTCCGATTGTCACTGTGTCCGATTGTTACTGTATCCGATTGTTACTGTATCCGATTTCAACCACCTTGTGTCCGTTCCTTATTGTGTCTGTTTGGACCTGTGTCCGATCCATTCAATCTGTCGTGTCCGATTTATTCTGTGCGCAACTGGGACTCACTCCAATTCACTATCTAAGAACAAGCCAGCCATGACTCAGTAGTAATCAACATTAGAAACAAAGTTTTATTTCTCAATAATAAAAAAATGTCATGAAAAGGCGAAGAAAATTTTTAGACTCACACATCGCCCTCGGATGCTTATTCTTAAAATCTTGGATGTATGAATCTTTATCCTTATAATTTTTGTATATCCTTTGTATATCCTTGTAATATTGTAATATAAAAATTAAAAATTTGTATATTCTTAAAGTCCTTGCACTCTGTCTTGAAATTCCGTAATTATAAATATAATATTTCTAAAGTCATAAAACTAAATTTAAAATAATTAAGACTTTATTTTTAAAACAACTTATATTTTCATTGAAATCTTAGAATCTTTGAGTCTTAAAATCTTTTTCTAAATATTTTTCTAGAATTTTAGACTTTAATTTTATCTTTTTTTGTATTAAAAGTCCATCTTTCTTCATCTAATCATATGTTCTTCATAAAATGAGTTATCAAGTTCAAAAAATGTGTAAACAAAGGTAATGTTTTTTGTCCTCAAACAAATCAAGCTGCAGTTCTGAGTTATGGTGATCTTGTTCTCAGAATAACATGTCTCTAATATATACCATACAACACAATCCTTCAGAGTACACCGGCTTAAAGACGGTATTGCTGTTATCGGGCTTGCCGTTAATATGTAGCTGGGTCCTCAGCATCTGCGCTACGTCGATCTTGTGGCTCTACCTTTCCAGATTCTGTTCCGGGCTGGGATCGGGCATTATGTGGCCCACGATGTCCTTATATCTTAGCGAAATCGCTAATCCTGCCATTCGAGGCTCCTTGGTAATTTACTAATTGTATTTTTGTATGTAAAACTTCTCTACTTGATTTTTTAAAAAACTATTTTGAAATAATCGCAACTATTAGTTTTGTTTTATAAATCTTTACCAATTCTTTAATTATCATAATTTTAGATTACTTTTTCTCTCACATCTATATAATTAATTTATTATTTTATCTTCGACAAATTTTAACTTCTTATTTTTTTCTATAAATCAAGCAAGCTGGATTATTGCATTTGAGAATGCTTTTTATATAAATTAATATAACTTTTTTAAATGTTTTGCATTCTTAAAGGACTTTTGAAATATTTCAAACAAGAAAAAATAATTAGATTGATTTAATTTGGAACAAATATGGCGGACTGCAATAAATTTTGTTATCTTATTACTGATATATCAAATCTGTATCATTAAGAATGTTAAAGAATATTACAGCGTGGGAAACAAGATCGGTTGGAGTCGTTATTCGGTTCGAGTCGTTATATCTTTAATATTAAACTTCGATAAACTATTAAACTATTAAATAAACTATTAAAAATATATAGCTATTACAGAAGTATTACTGCATCGAAAAGGAAGAGAGCAAGGAAAGAAGTATTTTGTGTGCGTCCGTGCGTGCATGCGTGCGTGCGTACTCTGTACACTCTATACGTTCTGTGGCGCGGTGTTCGGCACAATGCGAGGAACGCGCTAGCTTCGAGACGCGATGTTCGGCGCGGCGTAGGGAGTGTTCCGTGTAAACACCCACGAATTCGCCGAACTCGCTCACGGATTCTCTGAAATATTTCGGAGAATCTATTGAAAAATTAAAAATTGACGCAAGCGCCAATTTGCAACATCACGTCGCACTCCGTTTAGTGGCCGGTGGTTCTTGTTGATGAAATTGTATTAGTGCGAAGCAGAGTGCTTCGTTATAACTTTTACAGGAAATCCGAATTTATTTAATATTAATATTTAATAACCTGAACTTTTATCGTTTTATAAGCTAAAGAAAACAAATGAACTCGTTAACTTTTTGCTTCTTATCTTGTTCTCTACCAAACTCGTGACTATTATATAAGCAGGATGCGACGAAATATTTTATTTTTTGTATTTTTTTGTATTTATGTATTTTATTATTTTTTTTGTATTTTGCACTTTTAATTCCTTTATGTTTTATATATTTCTATTTTTTTCTATTTTATATTTTTCAGGTTTAATCTTTTTTTCTATAAAACGATAAAGTTCTGTAAAACGATAAAGTAAAACGATAAAGCAGGTTATTAAATATTAAATTATTTCGGGCTTTCTTTAAAGTATTAAGAAAATAAAATAAATTCTTAAGAATATTTTATTAATTCAATCAAATTAAACCTACGATAAACTTCCCCCTCTTACCAAGTCCATCACACACACACACACACACACACACACACACACACACACACACACACACACACACACACACACACACACACACACACACACACACACACACAACACACACACACACACACACA